CCATTTTAGAGTATCACAACACATACGCACGCTTTCCCCTAAGCATAAACTACGCAGATTACGTTCATGTGCGCGCTTTCTCCTCCGAACGTAAACAACGCTGATTACGTCGATTACGCTCTTGGGTACTCTCCAAAATGGTGGAAGACGTAACTCGGGGGAGAAGAATTGTTAAATAAATGGTTATTTTTGTTTTCTTTGCACTCAAAAAGTATTCTCATAGCTTCGCAAAACTGAAGTTGAGCCACTGATGTCAGATGGACTGTTTTACCGATGTCCTTGCTACGTTTCTGGACTTGGGAACATTACAGTTGCGTTGCTGTCTATGCAGGGTCTGAGAGCTCTCACATTTCATCAAAAATATCTTAATTTGTCTTCCGAAGATGAACGGAGGTCTTACGGGTTTGGAATGACATGAAGGTGAGTAATTAATGACAAAATTTAATTTTGGGGTGAACTAACCCTTTAATTAAATATTTAACAGAATTTGATTTTAATGGTAATACACTACCATTCAAAAATTTGGACTGAGTAAGATTTTTATTTATTTATTTATGAAAGAAATTGACACTTTTATTCAGCAAGGATTAAGTAAATTGATCAAAAGTGACAGTAAAGACTGATAATGTTACAAAGGATTTCTATTTCAAATAAATGCTAGTCTTATTGAACTTTCTATTCAATAAAATGTATCACTGTTTCCCACAAAAATATGATGGAAGGATCATGTGACACTGAAGACTGGCGTAACGACTGCTGAAAATTCAGCTTTGCCATCACAGGAATAAATTACATTTAAAATATAAATGTTATTTTAAATTGCTATAATATTTTACAATATTACTGTTTTACTACATTTTTGATACAACCTTGGTGAGCATAAGATACTTCTTTCAAAAACATTGAAAAATATTACTGAATATTACTGAAATAGGAATTAATAACACTTGTGTGCTAATGTACTTTCATTGTATCACTAGCACTGAGAATATTTTATAACCCACCAAGTAATTCCCAGCAACTCATTTCATTTTATGTCTATAAACTTTACTTTGGTTTTGTTGTTTACTGACCAAACTTGCATATAAGCATTTAATTGATCATTTGAGCAGCCATTTTGTACATTCATTTCATTTTATCATCTAAGAATTTGATTTATCAGTTGCATTTTGTTAGAAAAAAATAATCATAAAGGCCCCAGCCAGGTGGAGAACAAGAGAAACATGCTTGATTGATATTGATGCAATGCCAAATCATGTGAGGCACATACAATATCTGTCTAACCTTCAAATAGCATGTCATGATCCAGTGGTTTTTAACTGCTGGGTGGCTCATTGTGATAATGATAATGATGATGATGAAGGAGGTTAGGGTGGGAAGACGTGACCGCACTGTGACCTCACTCTGATCTCTGACTCACGGCAGCAAGAAAACGCCATTCAGGCCATGGAGCTGCGCAACTACTTCTCCCTGTTCTGCCTGCACCAGGAGAGCCAGCTCATATTTACATACCTGCCCATTACGTCTCACATCCTGGGGGCATTTGTAGACTCACAGGTGCAGGGACATAAAGAGGTAAGCTTACCATAAGCTTATCTAGTATCTCTGTGTTAACGCTATTCATTTTAATGTGTGCCAAAGTTAGTTTTATTACTTTGATCCTAACAAAGCCTTCTAATATTTGTTGTTGCGTCTTATTTTGCTCTGATCTAGATGGGTGAGGTGTGGCAAGATCTTCATTCCAAGCTTAAAAATCTTTTTGGGGACGGTAACGGACAGTCTCCGCCTCTCAGCCCAAAATAGCCTCCCTTCTGTGCTTTCATGATCTCCAACCTGTTTTGAATGGCAGGAACTATTCAGGAACTACAGACAGTCAGTATTCTTTCTTGCAAAGAATTATGGGGAACTGCTTCTGTGTAAATGTGTAATGTGGCAGTTCTTAAAATCTGTCTGTCTGAGGTGAAAAGGGCCCTTAATTTCCTACAGTTTGAACAAACTGACACCTAAAATAAACGGCTAATGTTGTTGAGAATAATTTTAGCAAATGCAACAAGATGCTACAACACTGTATTAATGTTTAATCTACATGTATGCAAAGCTGATGTTGTTGTTTTAAAACGTAAAATAATCTGAAAAAGAAAATTTTACGTTGTAAAAAAAGTGTAAACACATGAAAGATGACCTATATTTACTATTTTAGTGCAATATAAAGAAATGAACTGAGAAGCTAATAGCCAGTGAGCAAGAGCTGTGGTCAGTTGAATACACTTAGCAAACATGGGAAATATGCAGAAATTATGTTATTTGATGCAAAGGCATCATATTCTTCCTTGTTCATGGTTTCAACTGACAGATTTGTTTTTTTCTGTCAGTCTGATTGTATGCTGTCTATTTTCGAATCTTCAGACTTGTACTTCTTGCAGCTATGTTTTGTTTTCACATTTCATCTTTATTTGTAAGTAATATTTACACTACCATTCAAAAGTCTGGAGTTAGTAAGATTTTATTTTTGAAAGAAATTCATACTTTTAATCAGCATGAAAAATTTTGCAAAAGTCACAGTGAAGACATTAGTGTTACGAAAGATTTCTATTTCAAATAAATGCTGTTATTTTTGTACTTCCTGTTCATCAAAGAATCTTGAAAAAAATGCATCATGGTTTCCACAAAAATATTAATCAGCACAGCTGTTTTCAACACTGACAAGAAATGTTTTTTGAGCAGGAAATCAGCATATACTTGCATCCTTGCTGAGCATTACCGTGAGGTATTCAAACTTTTGAACGGTAGTGTATACAAGTGAACACTTTCAATCTAGTTTTCTGACTGTTCTGTAGCTGAGCCCGGATCCAGAGAGTCTTAATCAATAAATACAATGAGCATGATACAATTCGTTATTATTAGCTGCTCTGTGCGCCAAAGACCTATTTTCATTCAATAAATCATGAAGTTCTGAAATTTTTAGACTGCTATTAAGCTATCATGTGAACTATACTTCGAAATATGTATATATGAAAAAAATAAACTTGCTGTCAATTTACCATATTGTATAGATGACACATTGCTGTTGGTTGATGTTTTATCATATTTTTGTCTTAATTGTTTAACATTCTATAAAACCCTTTAGCAGAGCTTATTATCATTTGTCTTATTCGAATGTTTGATTTTATGTTTGGACTAAGTAAAGCATTAAAGAAATAGAAACTGTTGTTGTACTCCAATACATATTCAATACTGCCACCTGCTGGCATAGAGGGCAAATGGTTTGAGAATTAGGTTTTACCTGCGACATTTAGCCAGGATAGCTAGACAGACAGACAGACAGACAGATAGATAGATACTTCATTTTATTCTGCACTTTCCAACATTTTATTTAGTAGATGACAGGTAGTTGAAGATGAAAGAACTTAGTAGGAAAGGTATGATTTTTGGTGTAAAAAAAAAGAACTGTTGTAGGATTAATTAACAAAGAAACAGGTAAACACAAAACATCAGCATACAGAAGATACATGTGTGAATTGAACCAAAGATAAATGGAACATCAAACAGATAATGCCATTTTCTCATGCAAAAAAAACAAAAAAAAACAAAAAAACTGCTTATACAAAATGCTGTATATTACATTAAAATACAGCATTTGATATCTCATGATTTCACATAGTATGGCCATCTCCACAAAACCACGTAGTTGGATAATTTCCACTGATACAGTGGCAGTGTTCATCAGTGGTATTCAAACCCCAATCACACATCCTCCACTTCCTCCAGTTTATGCTCCACTATCACTTCGTGACCGTGGAATTTAAAATATCCCAAGAACTTCTTTTTCTGAAGCATCAATGGGAACCACAGGACGTCATCTGCCCACATCTGGCTGAAAGGTATTTTATCTGTGTCAAACCACTGTGGCCTCATCTCTGAAAGAGAAAACAAACCTCTTCAGTCGCATGTTATTAGACCTTCTGTCTCAGTATGTGTCTCACAAACTGGATCATTAAGTGATGTGGCGCTGGTGGCCAAACGTCCAATTTTCTTGTCCCTGGAAGTGTTTTACAGCACTTTCAAAACACCCCGTAAAAACACTGCAAAAAACGTAACCTCCAAGAGCACAAACATATCTCAGTATGTGTCTCACAAACTGGATCATTAAGTGATGTGGCGCTTTATTACCGTCTGATTCGGTTGGCTCTCCTTTATAGGTGTCAGCTCTAAAAATGTGGACATCCAGCAGTTCTGTTTCCCCAATAAACTCAAATTTGATATTTCCAATCTTGTGGAGGGTGTCAACGGTAAGGCCACTTTCCTCTAGCAGCTCCCTGTCACATAAAATGGCATTTTGTTTTAGCTGGAAAACCAATAAAAGCAGGGAAGATTGAACATGGCCAAACGCTGGCACCATTGTTAAGTTCTACAGACAAGTAAATAATATAAAACATTCTCAGCATTACAAGGTTCAAATTGTTTAACTTTGATCTCTAGCATCAATAAAGTGACGCGATAGTGGAAGAATATAGCTTTTTTTAAAGTTAAACATAAAACATGGTAATGTACATTTGTGTAAGAAAAAAATCTAATATACATATTAAATTCATTCATATATACCCACTAAATTAGAAATGTCCCCATTTCCCATTTCAGAAATGGTCTCCATGTAGTAACCAGGGTTATTATTGTTAACTCAAATGGAAACCATTAAAAAATAATTAAAATAAATAAATAAATAATTTAAAGCAAGTTCAACATTTCTTTAGACATTCTTTAACTAAAAAGTGACAAAAACACTCAACAAAATCGCCAACTAAACTTTAAAATGAAAATCAAATCTAATTCAAAATATTAACAAAAACTTTAACTAACTGTTAAAACCGTTAAAACTCTTAACTGAAACTATGGATAACACTGATATTAACACCTTGTTTTTTTTTTGTTTTTGGCAACAATAATTGTACTGTTTCAAATGTCACGTGTGTGAATGGCTGCGAGGCTAGACTCACCCAGTGTTGCCAAGTCCGTGGTTTTCCAGCGGAATTTGGCTAATTTAACACTGTTGCCCGGGTTGTTTTTTTATGTCCGCGGTTTGAAGCGACTCCAATAACATGATATTTATACTCTGTAATGCGAATTTTAGCAGGGGAACCCCGCCAAAAAAAACGTGTATTTTACCCCCCGGAACGCGATTTTTAACTGGGTACCCCCTCGAAACGCCATTGGGCTAGTTTTGAGTAGCGATTGGGCGGGTTTTCTTGTGAAAACCTGGCAACCCCGGACTCACCGTCTGGCCGCCTGTACTATGGTCTCTCCTGGCTGGACTTTCCCTCCAAACCCATTCCATTTGCCAGCTCCAAAGCCTCTTTTCTTCATGCCCAACAACACTTTTTACCTGGGTAACCCCCTCGAAACGCCATTGGGCTAGTTTTGAGTAGCGATTGGGCGGGTTTTCTTGTGAAAACCTGGCAACCCCGGACTCACCGTCTGGCCGCCTGTACTATGGTCTCTCCTGGCTGGACTTTCCCTCCAAACCCATTCCATTTGCCAGCTCCAAAGCCTCTTTTCTTCATGCCCAACAACACCCGGCCGGGCTGCACCACCAGCACCAGGGTCAGCAGTTTATTAGTCAACATCTCCTTATACATAAATATAGTGTCTGTAATGGATAGCAGACTTCCTTTAAATTGACGCTCATCTCCATTATACAGACAGTATGTGTTGACTTTATCTGCATTCAAAACATAATTAACTTTTCTTTACAGTCTATAAACATCAAGCGACAAATAATAATCGATAAGATAATCAACGATTAATATAAATCAGTAGTGTGGCATCCTTGTATGCATTTAAATAAAACTGTTCACATCAGTTACTTCTATCCAAATAATTTGCTTACTTTGTCCAAAGTAATAAGTAGAGACGAAAAATGTAATCACATATACAGTTTAAAAATCAGATGAGTCAATATGCAGATATTTGGGTCTCAGTTTAATGAATCGGTCTTGTTCCCGCGTGTTGCTCGCAGTCAGATGATCACATGGAGGCTTCATATTGACAACAGTGAATTTAGTCATAATAGTGATTGACATAGTATTCAGATTGTCATTTATCTAAATGCAACACATGGTTTACAGATCTGCGAAAATATATTAACTCAACCAGAGCTGGTTGACGCCACCTACCTACGTGTGCAACTCTGAAATGTTCTCGATGGGAAAAGTGACTCATTTATGTGAATCGGTTCTTTCGAACAGAACTAAACGAACAAAAAAATTCAGTTACATAAATCGGCTAAAAGTTTTTTTTTTTTAATGTTTTAGCCAAACGGTAAACATATTTCAAGTACGCTGTATTTATAACATTTTTGTTTTATGTCTAAAGGTTATTTATTATTCCTCATTCCGCCTCATGTAAATCAGTGAAAAGATCCGACTCAAAAGAACGAGTCATTGAATCATAAAAAAAAATATATATAAACCTTTTTTTTTCTCTCAAAATAAATTACATGCATCCTGTACACTTGTGTCTTTTCTTAACTATCCAACCCAATCATTATTATTATTATTATTAATAATAATCATAATGATATTAATATTAATATTATTAACATTATTTTGAAGTAATTCAAACATAGGTACAATTTATACTACAGAACTAATACTAAGCATATATGAGCATCCACTTTTTAAGATTTAGATAGATAGATAGATAGATACTCATATTTATAACCTATAACCTGTTATGTTAAATATTAGTTTAGGTGTCAGTTTTTTCATAGCTGATGAGGATATGAACAACATACCTTTGTTCATTCCAGGTGTGGATCTTTCTAAAGGAAGCGTAATAGGAATAGACATACTACGCATTGCCCCTTTGGATGGAGCTCAGTTGCTGTCCAATCATGACATCACTGAGCCCTCAACTCACATGGCGCTGGAGAGGCTCCTCCCTGAAGCTCGAGCAGATGTCATCCTCAGTGACATGGCCCCCAATGCCAGTGGGCTCAGGGAACTGGATCATGAAAGATTGGTCACCATGTGTCTATCAGTGTTGGACTTAGCTGACAAGGTTTTGCGCCCCGGGGGCTCTTTGATTTGTAAATACTGGGATGGAGCTTTGGCCCGTAAGCTCCAGCAGAGGCTTTCCTCAATGTTTCAAAATGTAAGAACTGTAAAACCAAGAGCAAGCAGGAAGGAGTCAGCAGAGCTTTTCTGTCTGGCGAGGATGTTCAAAATGAGATAGGATGAAGTCTTTTTCATGCAAATGCATTTTTAACATATTATATTTTATGTTTATATATATATTTTATAAAATAAAATAGTTTTGTTCCTATTATGTATTAAAAATAAATAATAATAAAAATAAA